ACCAGAGCCGTATAGCCACTAAGTGGCAGAAACCAGATTCATATGCAGATCTGTGACTCCAACACACATCCTCTTTAAATGACAACCTTTTGTTGCTTAATAAGATCATTCCCCTCTGGAACAGACTTGCAAAAAGAAACAAACAAACAAACAAAACCGCCTCCAACCCCTCATTGTCCCCAGAATGGCTGAGCAATCGATGCAGGATGAAAAGAGGGACTCTTGTAAGGCACTCTGAGCCCAGAAGATGATCAAAAGCAGGAAGAGAGAGCCTAGAGCCCTAGATGAATCTCAGGGATACCTTTCCTGGGGTTTAGGGGCGCACAGGAGGTTTTAATATAAGAGGAAAGATCACATAGGGGCTTAGAGCACAGAATGGGGGCATCAGATCAACCTAGGAGCACATCCCAGTCCCACTACTTACTCTCTTGATCTTTCTGAGCCTTACTTTCTACTCTGTAAAATGGGAACAATATCTGAACCAACGCTGAGGTGAGGGAAAGCATGCTCTCGCTCCTGGCTGATGGTGAGCACTCTCCAAGTGTCGGCCACCATAAGATCATCCCTGGGAGGCTCAGAGCACCAGCCTTACTGGAGGGGACCAAGCAGAGGGAGAGCCCGGGGAGACCGGCCCAGCCAGCAGCGCTGAGAGAGCCCAGAATCTCAGCCTGTAAACCTGGCCCGGCCCCCATCCCTGCAACAGGCCCAGGGGCAGGACGCGGAGAGAAGCAGGGCCAGCCAGACATACTGCAACACAGCAGAGGAGCCAGATTATTTACTTTAAAGTAGAAAGTGTCTTCCAGAGGACGGCCTTTTCCTTGGGTGAATCTGGGGGCTGTGTCTCAGCTTAAACTCATTATCTGCCACATGGTCTTCGTACTCCGGTTCAGGGTGGGAAACAAAGGGTGGAAGAGAAAGGATGGGCCAATAGGAGCTGATGAAATATCATCCCTCAAGTGCCAGAGACCGGGATATTTTCAGTGACGTCACATTGGGCTTCCTGCCACGGGGTAGGGCTATCGTGAGAATACTCACAAGACTTTAACTTAGGAGCTCTCAATGAAGCAGGGAAAGAAAGAAAACAAAAAAGGCAGCTTATTTTATGTACCTTTGTCTTCTATCCCCAAAACACGCACTCGCTCTCTCTCACTCTCTCTCTCTCTCACACACACACACATGCTGTGCCCCAGAAGATCAGAGCTGGAAAGGCCCAAAGTTTATCTTCCTACTTCACAGTAACTGTATAAAGATAACAATGACACTGAGCATGTGCCACTTCCGGCCACTGTGCTAAGTGTTTTATGTTTCATGTCATTGGCTGTTCACCACAATCTGATAAGACATTATTAGTCCCATTTTACACATAAGAAAGCTGAGGCATCAGCGATCGAACAGCCTAGGGTTGCAGAGCTAATAACTAGGAGAAAGCCAACATTCAAACCACCTAGGCAGCCTAACCACCATGCAATGCTACCTATAAAAAAGCAGAGAAAGGAGCACAGAGAGGGGCGGTGACTCACTCCAGGTCACACAGCTCCATCTGTAATAGAATCAGGGTGAGGACACAAATCTCCTTAACTCCTGGTTCAGTCACCATTCCACTCCCTCCTGTTGCCTCTTAGTCCTTACTAGAACACACAGGCACACAGCAGTGAACATGCTTCTGCTCATCTCCAAGTTGTTTAAGTCACTAATTACAGCAGCAGTCAGGGGTGCAGGCAAGGGCTAAGGGTTGCACCTCAGGAGAAGTGCCCAGATGAAAGCCCTGCTTGGCCCGTTTTGAACACCGGGACTCATCATCTCCCTCTCTCTATTTTAATAAGTGTTTCATTATCTGCTCCCCCTCCCTCGATCGGAGAGCTGATGCGGGTCCAAGGTGCCAGCCTGTGTGGCAGGAGGAGCCCAAGCTGGCAGGTTTGCTCAATGGCATCAGGTTGCAGAACTACCCGCTCAACCCATCATCTGCTCCCGGGGAGCAGGGTGGGGGGTGGCAAAGTGCTGGTTTCCAAGGCCCCTCCCTTTGCAGTGTCCCAGCTGAGTCTGAACAAATGTTCCTGATTTTCTTTTCAACGGCTGATGAAATAGGCCAGTGAGCAGCTCTCTGGAAGGAGGGGTCCCTACAAGGGGCAGCCCAGCCACCACCATTTGCTCCTCTCAGGGAAGGGGAGAGAGTGAACGCTGGACAGGCCTCAGGAGAAAAGCAGCCTGCGGACAGATAGGGTTCCCAGCAGGCACTGACGTTACCCCCCTCCGGAAAACTGGTGGAGGTCAGCCTGGCTCACTGTGCTGTGTAGGGGGGGGCATGGCGGGATAAGACAGCCTGGGGAGGTGTCCGCCACTGGACCGAAGGCAGAGAGAGCAGGGCTGCCTAGCACCCTGAGAGGTGAGGCTCTTCTCATTTTAAGTTGCAAAACCGCTCAGATCTCCTAGGCCAGCACCCTCGTGTCACAGGCTGAGAAAGCGTGTCCAAGAGGGGAAGTGACTCACCCAAAGCCACACTGATGACCCAGAAGACTGGGCTCCGTTCCTGACCCCCTCCCACAAATCCCTGCCACAAGCTCTTGCTTTGATAGCGCCAGGCACACCTGCCCCTGCCCAGCACCCTGTCCTCCAGCCCACCCCTCACACCATCAAAACCTTATTCGGTAACTCAACGAGCTATTTCCAAGCTCACGTGGAATTTTTTTATGGGGGGGGGGGGCACTATTTAGGCCAATCCAAGGTGCCCTAACTCCAACTCCAGGTGAACTTCTGCTTCTAGAAGGTGCCCTGGAACTTTCACAGGTGCACTGGCATTTCAGCCACGGGTTGCATAAAGATACCACCAAGGGTCAGGCATTTGAGTGTATTTGGGGATGGGGTGACAAGGACACAGACTGACCAGATGTGAAAAGTGGCAGAATCAGAGATCTCCGAGTCAGCAGCCCGGGGTCTCAGTTCCCTCTTCTCTTCAGGGCATGTGGGGGCTGGGGGGCAGTGCGGGGAGAATGGGTGGAACAGGACAGGGCTGGCTGTGTGGGGCAGGCTTCCCTCCTCAGAAAAACAAGTCACTGAAAACAAAACCAAACAACCCTTTTGTTTTCGGGCCCCATGGAATGTCTTGAAGCTGCATCCAGGGACAGCGGCTCCTCCACCCTTTCCTCTGTCTCTGCTCCTCCTCTTCTACTCACAGTAAAAATCATGCTGATCTTTCCTTGTGGCAGCTCTGTCCTAGAGCAGGTTGGTAGCATCCAGCAAAAACAATGGGTGGGCTGCGAGGCAAGCAAGAGCCTCAAATCTCTTTCTGGACCCTCCCCGCTTCCATCATCTCTGCAGGAGACTCAGGGGACACCCAGGAGGGGGGCAGCCCAGCGTGCACAGTTTCTAGCCAAGAGAAAGATGAAAACTTCCACTGGCCGCTGTGAGGCCACCGCACGGTCTTTGATGTGCTCATTTGTACTCACTTGGGGTGCAGGGAGGAGGGAGGAGAGGGAATTAGAGAGAACGATGAGGCAACAGTCCCTTCAGTGTCCCTTCAATGTCGAACAGCCCCACACATGACAGAGTAGACACTCTTCACCGATGCCAGCAGCTGCCTTGCTTCCCAAAGCGTCCGCAGGGACACAGAGACTCAGCACACACGGTCTCGGAGGTCAGACAGGGCACAGAGAGCAGGTCTCCACCAATCAGTGTGAAATGACCAGATGACTGTGGCCCATGGACCACGGATGGGAGGGGCGGGGCTCTTGTTGACTGCTGAGAAAATGACAAGGGTCCCCCATCACCCCCACCCTTGCTTCCCAGCTTATTTGTGGCCAGATTGTGGATAGGAGGGGATGGCACAGCAGGTAGGGACCTGGCCAGATCCAGGGAACAAAGGTACAACTTCCACAGAAAGGGGGGTGCATTGAGCGATTGGGGGGGGGGTCAGACTCCAGAGAAACCTCAAAAAGTTAATTCTCCCAGTCATTTTCTCCACACGGATTTGCTGTTACTGTACAGTTTCTCTCCTTTTTTTGTTTTCCTGGCGGTGACTTTTTTATTCACCAATACACCCTGACAGCCCAGCTTCCCAGCACACGGTGCAGTTACAAATGAAGCACCCCAGCCTCACACTCGACCGTCTCCCCAAGTCCGGCTGTGCGGAGGGGTGCTCCTCCCGGTGGGGCCCGGGTGTGGTTGGAGGGTCTGTGGTTGTCTGTCCTGGATTTCAATACATTTGTCTGGAAGGAACCAGCACTACTGGCCTTCCTATGGGTGAAAGGGCCGGGGAAGTGCGCCCCCTGGCGGGAGCCAACTCACCTCCATCCAGCCGGGTCCCAAAGCCAGCGTGAACCCACCAGAGCCCGCCAGCCCTCCAAGCGGACTCCCACTACACCCCCTAAATCTGCACACACCTGGGCTTCGGACCCACCGAGAACCACACAGAATCTCTGTTTCCCCAAACCGCACACACCCTGTAGGGGATCCAGGGGCCCCCGAAGGGAAGGGTGGCGCCCCGGCCTCGCCCCGCCACCAGGGACCCCGAAGGCGGCAGGCTCTCAGTGCCCCTGCTGGGCCCAGTGATCTCCTAGCCCGGATCTTCGCTTCTCACCCCTAGACCTAATCCTGCCCTGCTACAGAGTCGGGTGGCGCGCGCACCCTCCCTCGGGGTGCAGCCCTCGCCGAGACCCCAACCTTGTAACCACACCTGCCACCCTCCGCCATTCTCCCGGCGCCCCCACTCACCCACCCGGAGCTCCCGGAGCCGACGGGCGCTGCACCTGTCCGCGGGGAAGCCCCAGCCCTCGGCGGATTCGGAGCAGGAATTAGAGGCGAACACGTCTCCCCTTCCTCCTCCGCATGCTGGTTTAAGTAAAACTTGGTTCCAGAGCTTCCCCGGACCGTCCTGGGATACCCCTGATGGCACCCCTACCCCACCCACCATGCCCAACAGCCTCCCGCGGGGATCGCGCGGGGAGTCTCCAAGTCCTAGAGCGCAGCGGCAGGGCGCACTGAGCATAAGGTGTGGAGCCCCCTACCTTCCAGCTGCAGCGGCCGGACCCGC